CCCCAAAACCCCAAAACCCCAAAACCCCAAAACCCCATTACATGATCAATCAAATTTAAGTGAGTAGAATATAAATTTATGAGAGTAGCACTAGTGAAGTTACTTACAAGGCCAGGATGTGAGGCATGTAATAGAGGCAAATTTATTCTAAGAAGATTGAAAAATCATGTTGAGTTTGATGCGAAAGTTGTGAATATACTCAAATATCAAGAATACATGGTTTATTCTGACAAATTGCCAGTAATACTAGTAGAAGAGGAACCTGTGTGTGTGAATAGAATAGTTGAAAGGGATATAAGAATGGCCATTACAAAATATAATGATTAAATTAGTTAACTTTGAACTTTGATAATAATTAAATCTATTAAATGAAAAGTTTAAACGTCATCAGTAATCACTTCACTGTCAGCGCACCTATCGTCCAAGAAAACTTACTAGAAAAGTACAGATCAATGAGCAATCTTGATGTAAAGTTCCTAAACAAGTTATACTATGGTAATCATGAACTTGAGATGAAATAGCTTGAAAAGGTCCTCATTGAAAATCCACTTTTTAAGTAATCATCATATATTACTTTATGTTACTTCTACTAGGACAGAGACTTAAGAGGAATTATCAAGATAGGACGAAAGAGAGGTTGGAATTAAAAAGATGAGAGTAATTTTTGACGAAGGTAGGAGAATCGTTGAACCAAGCACTCTTTATAATGATCCTCAGAGATTTTTGATTTTCGGTCTCCCTACTCTTATATATAATCAAGCAATAGCCACTAAATTTTCTGTGAGCTTTATTCTATATTTCAAAACCATTGATAACTTGGGGACTGAGATACACTAGAAATATAAAGACAGACTGATTGAGCAATAGAGTGATGTCGGTTGTTTCGCTTTAACTGAATTAGGTCATGGATCCAATGTCAGATCAATAATGACAACTGCCCATTATGATCCAAAGAAGGAAGAATTTATCATTAATACTCCAACTGACCTTGCCATGAAATTTTGGATTGGTGGAGCCTCTTAAACAGCAACAATAGCTGTAGTTTTTGCCTAACTATATATTGATGGTAAATCAGAGGGTCCACATGTATTCTTAGTCCCTTTAAGAGACAAGAGAACTTTTGAAGTACTTCCTGGTTTGATAATAGGGGATTGCGGCAAAAAGAATGGTTAAGATGGCATCGATAACGGATTCATCATATTTAATAATTACAGGATCCCTAGAGAAAATCTTCTGAATAGATTTTCAAATGTGACTAAGGAAGGGAAGTTTGAAACCACCATTCCAAATATTGACAAAAGATTTGCAGTCTAATTAGGCAGTTTATCACAAGGAAGACTGATGATTATAGGTTCATCACCAAGACTTTTAGGATATGCTACAAAAATTGCGCTTAGATTTGCAGCTATGAGAAGATAGTTTGGAAAGCCTGACGAGAAAGAAGAAGTACCTTTGATCGAATATCCACTTCATCAGTACAGATTATTCCCATTAGTAGCATCAGTAATAGCTTGTAAAATTACTGGAACTAAAGTATATGAAATGTGGTAAGACTGCTTGCCAGAATTATTTGATCCTGAAAGTACCAAAGTTCCTGAAATTCATGCAATTACATCTTCATTGAAAGCTATCCACAGTTGGATTGCAATGAGAGGTATTCAAGAATGCAGGGAAGCTTGTGGAGGTCTTGGGTATTCTTACTATTCAAAGTTAGGTATTTTAAGAAACAACTTTGATATCAATCAGACTTGGGAAGGAGATAATAATGTTTTGCTCTAATAAACAGCAAAATATCTAATTGATATCATGCAAGCCTTAGTAAAAGGGAAAAAAGTTTAAACATAAACATGCCATTGGATAAAGAAGACTCCAGTAGAGGGATAGTAAAATGAGACTACAACTGAGGAGGAATTCTTGAGAGGTGAAAATTTATATGCAGTATTTTAACATAGAACTAATTTATTACTCCAAAAAAGTGGAATGAAACTAGCTATGGCAATGGCGCAAGACAAAACAGCAAATCCAATAGATCTCTGGAACAATACCTAAGTCTTTCACCTTAATGCTCTATCTAAATCCTTTGGAGAATTATTCATTGTCTAGTAATTCCATACATTTATCAAAAAGCTTGAAAATGATGAGCTCAAGACTAACAAAGACACGAAGGAGGCTTTGAGTAAGCTATTTTAACTTTTCTGTTTAAGCAAGATTGAGGCAGACTTAGGAACATTCAGAGATGGTGATTATTTGACAAGTGAGCATGGAGACTTTGTAAGAAATTCCATTCTTAGACTTTGCGGAGAACTTAAGAGACATATAATACCTCTAGTAGAAACTTTCTACCCAATTGATGAATTAATGGATTCAATGATCGCTCCAGGAAGCGGTGATCTTTACGGCTCTATTGTAAACAAAGTTTATGGAGCTCCGAAGGTATTCCAGAGAATTCAAAATTGGGAGGATATCTATCTTAAAAAATGATATTATATCAAACTGAATTAAATTTTACAAAATCATAACAAACTTTAAATTTAACTTAATAAAAATTAAAATGTGGAAAATTCCATTAGCTATTCTAAGTTTATTGATATCGATTAACACGTGTCAAGGCCTCTATAGTTCAAAGTCAAATGTTGTCAAGCTAACTAAAGATAATTTCAAAAAGCTAGTACTTGAATCAGATGAGCTGTGGCTAATTGAGTTCTTTGCACCATGGTGTGGACATTGTAAGCAACTAGCACCTGCTTGGGAAGAAAGTGCAAATAGACTTAAAGGAGTTGTAAAGGTCGGAGCAGTTGATATGACTACTGACTAAGAAGCTGGTGCCCCCTATGGAATCCAAGGTTTCCCAACTATTAAATTCTTCGGTTTCAATAAGCAAAAGCCTATTGCCTATGAGAGCGGTAGAGATGCAGAGACTATTGTAAACTACGCCATCGATAAAGTAGGATCTGAGATTAGAAAGAGAGGAAAGGGTGCTGCCTCTAATGACAATAAAAAGAGTGAGAGCTCTAAGAAGTCATCATCCTCAGGTGGAGCATCAGGCTCTAGTGACAAGGATGTAGTAGTCTTGAATGCTCAGAACTTCGATGAATTAGTTTTAGGTTCGAAAGATATCTGGTTTGTAGAATTCTATGCTCCTTGGTGCGGTCATTGTAAAAAGCTTGAACCAGAATGGAATATAGCTGCTACTAAGCTCAAGGGATAGGCCAAACTTGGCAAAGTAGATGCCACAGTTGAAGGTGAATTAGCCTAAAGATTTGGAGTGAAAGGATATCCAACAATTAGATATTGGGATTATGGTGAGGGAAAGAAAGATACAAATGCTCAGGAATACTAAAGTGGCAGAGATGCTGATTCTATTGTTGCTACTGCAAATTAACTATTAGAGAAAGCAGATATTATTCCAGATATTCACGAAATTTACAATCAAAAGGTTTATGATAACAACTGCTAGGGATAAAAGATTTGCATTATTACCTTCCTTCCAAATATTTATGATTCAAACGCTAATGAAAGATAGCTATACATCGAAAGATTGTAAGCTATTGCAAAGAAGAATAGAAGACATCCATTTGTTTTCTTCTGGCTTTAGGCAGGAGATTAATTAGACCTAGAGAAGCAACTTAACTTAGGATTTGGTTTCCCAGCAGTTGTAGCTATTGCCCCAGCCAAGAATAAATTGGCTATAATGAAGGGATCCTTTGCTGAGGAAAAACTTTCAGATTTCCTAAATGATTTAATCAATGGAAGAGCATCATTGGAAGATGTAAAGAAACCAGCTTTCAAGAAGGCTGATAAATGGGATGGAAAAGACGCTCCCCCTCTTGAGGTAAGTTATTAGCCTAATAATAGTGATCAAAAATATCTTTTTGAGAATTAATCTTAATCATTCATTTTAGTTGGGCTCAGATGACTTATGATCAGTATTGAAGATCCCGTTAGTTTATTCAATTTACTCTTAGATGAATCCAGCATTTGTTAAATGTATTTCATAAATTGTTTTCTCATTTTATGATAACTAACCATTATGTCCACATGTAACTGGTATCAGATACCCTGTCTTAATCGTATCAGGCTCAGTGAAGTCTTTAAATATTACATTATCCTATCCCAGTCCCATTACATTCTTTTCAGTGAGGGATGAAATCCTTTTTTTCCCTTTATTACCTACTTCATTGTCATCTTCAACCTAATTTCTTTTCTTTTCGATATTTTTCATTGCTACATCAAATTCACTCATTTCAATTTCATTTTCTTTTCCTATTTCTTCATCTAATGAAATCATCCTCTCTGAAGTGGAAGACTTAGGACTACCTGAGTAGACTGAATCCCCACAGTTTGATGCAGTTGACTTATGAGCTAAATTTTGATGCTTCTTTCCCAGGAATGATTCCATCTTTGAAAGATAGAAATCGATGACTTCAAATTTTGTCAAGATATTTTTCATAATGTTCCCCTATGCAATATTGAAGTCTCTTTTTTATTATACAGTAAGTTTCATTTGCTTTCTAAACTCATGCAATTTCGTCTATGAGATTAATTCTGAAATAACTTACATAAGATTAAGCTCTGGTCAATTAAATGTCATAGCATTATATGTTTAAAGGAGTGTAGCTTCCCCAAATATCTAAATTTATTATCCAATTCCTAAAACTATATAGCCTATGTTATTTTTTCTCTTTAAATACAGACTGCAATGTTCTCCCAGCAGAATCTAATCTCATCATAAGTTTGTAGAATGTAACAAGTAACTCAAGATATTCGTAGAAATCAGTTTGCTGATCATTCTCTCGCTCTCTAATTTTTCTTTCTTTTTCTTTAATTGCTTGACTCTTGATCGCTCTTTTTCTTGAGGAAGTCAAAGTTTTAAAGTTTCCTGAGGTGTGTAATGCAGAAGAATTGGGAGAATTCTATTGAGATCTATTTGTAGTACTGTCTAGATCTGTCAATAAATAACTGTGCTCAATTTCAGAGGCAGGCTTTTAGAGGCCATCCATTGTAGATCCATGATTGGTTTAAAGGAGATAATCGTTAGGAGAGTTATTACCAGTCATTGATTCGTATTTTGCATTTAGGCTTGCTTAAGTAGTTGATAAATTGCTTTTATTGCCTGAAAACTTCTTTCTAAGTTTTTTGTTTTATAATTCAAGTTCAAATATCACAGTGAATACTTCATCTAGGTTTTGAAATAGGACTTTAGTTTCATCTCTATTTAAAATATGATAGTATTCTGAGATATCTTAGACCTTTCTACTTTAATATAAATTTTTTGTTGATTCATCTAATTAACTTAAAGCTTTTTCCATCTGTTTATTCTTTAATTCATTTTATATCTGAAAACTTAAATCAAAAGTAAATTACTATTCTTAGCGAGATGCCCGTTTTCAGTGAAGCATTATCATTAATAACTTCATCACTTGGATCTTATGCTATAACTTTATAGCAATTAGTAAAGATATAGTCTCTTGTTGCATCTACTTCTTTCCAAAGAGTGAAGAATTTCATCCCCCATTTAGCCCACATACCCATTGAATAGATAGGAACATTATCTAAATTAGCAAAAGTTCTATCTGCAAACACAAAATCAACTAAACCTTTTCTTCCTAAATAGCAGGCAAATAGGCCACCCATTGATAGCCCATGGGCTCCTATTTTAGGGTGTTGTGTTTTTGATCTTACATATTATGCAACTATCTCAGAGTCCTCTTTAAGTTTCTATAAAATTACTTTAATTTGTTCTAATTTACCTTAGGTGATGGTCTACCTTCACTTAAGCCAAATCCTCTGTAATTCCAAACAAACACGTTAATACCCAAGTAGAAATAATAGTCGAGCCAATCACTTTGGTACTAAAAGAATTCAGCAAATCCAGCATTAGGATTGCAGAATATCATAGTAGGATATCTATTATTTTGGGGTTTAGAATTATTGCGATATTCTTCATAGCTATTATCATTCTCATTATCATTCATTTCCTCATATTGAGCTTAGTGGCAAGATACCCAATATCCATGAATTACAGTCTTATCTTAACTCTTTAAATATACTTACTTAGCTTTATACCTTAATTCCATCTCAACTCTCATTTACTCAATAGTTCCAAATACTTTTGCATTGAAAAATCTTTCTAATGACTCTCTTGGAGTTGTTTTAGCTAAAGATATATGCAAATCTCCCTCTATTTGCAAAATAGCCTCATGAAGCTTAGGAAGATGCTTTTTTTTCTATTAAAATGAGAACGAGGCACACATTGAGTCAACTGCATTTTAAATTGTCAACTCCAATTCTGAGAAATCCCAGAGTGTTTATTCATGAGATCCAAAAATCACCTTAGTTAGTTGCAGCTACTTCTTTAAGACTTTTAGCTTATCCAAAAAATGCTCTTAGTCATGATGAACAATCATTTGAGATTCTCTTTAGGCTTCTATTTATGCTTCAAGTGACTTGATCATAATAACTATCTTTCTGCAAGCTAAATAGTTATTCATGATTTTGTAATATATTAATGTTGATTATTACCTGAGTGAAGACAATCTGAAGATTCACTATCGTAAGATTATATTGACATTCCCATCTGAATATATTATTTCATATCAATAATCGATCTCAAAACTTCTTGACTCATACTTTTGTGATATTAGTATTCAAGATTCCTTTGAAAGTAACTAGATGAACCGGGAAACGCTATCAGAGTCACTATTTTCCTCATCTGAAGATAATAGAAAAGTAATATTGAAGCAAATGCCAATAGACCTCCAATAAACCAAGCAAATAATTCATATATCAAAAAGTTAATCAAGAAAAAAACCGATAAAATCAAGCCTAAGTGAATGATAAAGTATAAATTAGGTTACCTATAAAGATGAGATTCTTTTTATTGAAGCCTTGATTTTTTTGTTGATTTTCTGGTATATTCATTTTGATTATTTAAAAAATTAACAATTAATTTTTCACTTATTATCATATTTTTTCAATTATCATTGATTTTTCATATAGGGGTTTTGGGGTTTTGGGG